TATATATGTTTGGGTTTAATGAGTGCAGAACAGTGCGTGCAGAAGCTCTGCTAAGGTGAGGTTTGTTACACGCAGAAGGTCCCTCAAGTTCATTCATTTATTCATTCATTAATTCATGGCAGGATCTAATGTGATGATAAAAAGAAAAGAAAATGCATTTATAAAGTCTAAGCTGAGCACAGTTTTTACTTCTGCCTCTATCACTGTACAAATCTGACTCTATACAAATGAGACCTCTCATGGGATTTCACAAAGTTTCATAGTTGGTTATGATCTACAGAAGGGTGCTGCCCATAAATGATCAAACAGAAAATACAATGTCGTAAAGATCATACATTTTTCCGAACAATACAAACGCCTTATTGAGAAGACAAAAAATGTCGAAGAAAACAGTTAAATATCAATCCCATGCAAGGAAATGCAGATAGTAGCAGCTGCATAGTAAATAACAAGCTGTTAAGGATTTTTAGTGTGCTATAGGTAATTTTATTTAAGGCAAAATTTAAAGCAGTCCTCTAATCATGAGTCAAAAAAACTGAAGTGAAACTTAACACTTTGTTGTGTTTCCTGGCCCTAAATAGCACCTAGAAAACCAGTTACATGGTGAAGAAATCTGCAAAGACTCTGAATAATCTGTAGTATAAGACATTTGACATAGATCATAGTCAGTCAAATTTCAGATTAAATCCAACCTTTTCAACAAAAAATTTGAAAAGTCTTTTGAAATGCTGAGGTGGAGATAAAGCGTCTGAGCCATAAGAATGCAACCAAAAAATTATACTTTAATGTACAAACTGTGTATTGTGCATGTTTAAAAAGGAAGTAAATCTGCTTTGCAGTTTATACTATTCTCTTTTAATATTAACTGTTACTGTATTGAATGACATGCAAAAAAAAACCCCAACATATAACAGCTTTATAGTTTGTTTGTTTTTGTTTTTTTTGTTTACAAATTTGCTAATAACGTGCATGTATTTTGTGAGAATTTTATGTGAGAGATCAACACAAAGTGGAATACAACTGTGACAGAGAGGAATAAGAAGGATTGCTTTTAATATTTAAAGTATTGGTCTGTTTCTCCCTATTCTTTCTGAAAGATGTCACTGCTGCTTCCACCTCTACTGGCTGACCTGCGAGTAGAGGTGGAACCAGCAGAAGTAGAGCCAGTATATTTTTAAAGAAAACCATAAGAAAGTCATGTACTGTACAGTAGATGATGTCATAATGAAACTTTAAGACTAACAGGAATATGCTGTTTGTGAAGGAAATCATCTCCATTAGGAAGCATGGTGTAAACACCTTCATACTGTAGGGACGCTTCTCTTCAGCCCAGAAAAGGAATCTGGTTGGAGTTGATGGGACGATGGATATAGATCAGTAAAAGGTAATAACCTGCTAAAAGCTGCAAAATGCAGTTAAAATGGGACAGAGTAGGACACTGACTAAACATATACCCAGAGCTACGTGATGTCTTCTTTGTGGGTTAGAGTAATATGTCCAAGTCTGCAAGAAAAACAATTAAATTGACTTATGGCCACATGCAATAAAGTGAAAATACATTTATTTTTAAAAAAGAAGGGTCTGGAACACATTTTTTTTTTTTATCCATCCAGTGCAGAATTACTTTGTGGGTTTAATGTGGTAAAATGCAACAGAGCTCTTGAGATTTGAACATTTTTAATGGCATTGTAGATACTACAATATACATCACAGTATTACAAAAAAAAGTATTGTTTATCGGATATTTACAAATCACATTTATACATAAATAAATAACTAGATAAATTAATATTTATGTGTGTGTGATTTTTATGGCAGTTTAATGGGGTATATTGTTCAAAGAAGTGGGTAGAAGTATGAACTTGCAGATGTTCCCGGCCATTATCCATAGACTGCATGAATCATAAATTCTCCTAAAAACGCAGCAAACAATCCAATAAAAACACACAACGCAATGTTTCACCTTTCTACAGCATACAATGCATGCAGAATAAACAGTTACATGTACCTAGTCATCACTGTTTCAGCCTTATGTATAATACATATATAAAGTGAAATGACACTTTATATGATATTTTATGCTATTTCTTTGTGTGGAATAATTGCATAAACATCAACAATAGATAATTGTCACTCATATTAATAATATTAATCAATGTAATTGTACCTGTTTCGCATTTATATATCCATTGAGAAGTGAATTCATACATGATAATGTGAGCTAGTTTATGTTTGAACATGGCTTCAGTCCTGGAGCTAGACTCTTTCAAGGATTCACTCCCCATACTTTGAAACACAAAAGCTCTTTCCACTGTTTTTGTTTTTGTTAGTAAGGAAATTACATGGGCTAAGTTATAAAAACAATATTTCTACTTGATAATCTTTATCACAAAAGTGTTAATACTCTTTTGTTCCCTCACTATATTCTTTAGAAATACAACACTTGTCCATATTCTTGTAATTCTTAAAATTTAGAGCACATTTCCAATTTTTTTTTCCTGTGTGTGTTTTTACTTTTTATTTCGTATGTAACAGCTCCACAACCATTGGCAAATCACAAGAATATAACACAAAAACAAAAACAACAAAACATAACAGATTATACATATTCCTATTCAAATGAGAAAACCAGAATCTGGAGAAAACTAAACTAATGAGAAACTTTTTAACACAGTAGACTAAACATTTTAAGTGTAATTAGCTATTTTTTAATAGGTTTTAGGTGCAGCTTAATCAAATATGGCTAGAAACCATAGTGGAATATCTTTTGTATCATTTTGGCTCATTAAAATAGTTCCTAATATAGCTTATAAAATATTTTTATCAAACTTTAATGAATGACTTGTCTTTATACAAAGTTTGATTAAATGATCTACAAATAATCAATTGTTTAAAAAGTTGGCTGTACTTCTGTGACTACTGCAAAACACCCAAATTACTGTCATATTTTACTTTAAAGAAGATAGATATAGATTCAAATGTTTTTTAATACTTTGACAAAGAAATCAGGTTAATTTGATCTAAATTTCACCATCCTACATAATTAACAATCTTTTTGTTAAATCACAAAGTGCTAAATTTTAAACAAAATCATTTTGTCCTACACTTGATTAATAATAATGTTCCCCTGATTAAAACTGGATAAAGACATATAGATTAAAGAACAATGAAAAATGACTTTAATAAAAATAGTGAGATTTAAACTGGTAACACAAAAATTAGATATTTTAAGGGAAGATAAAATCTATTCTTAAGTCCAATTTAAGTTTTGAAGAAAGGCAGAAAAAGTAAAAAAAAAAAAAATAGAAAGTAAAAACTCCTTAACCTAAAAGTGTTTTGAGATACAAAATGAAATCTGTCTGTGCCAAACAATATACAACTTTAATTCATTTCCAGCTCAAAGAAATATTCAATTTATTCGTAAAGAAATAGATTTTCTTAAAGTTTCACAACAAACGCATTTTATTCTGTGACTTTTATATTGCTTTAATTTGTATTGACAAAACTTCAACTGGACCTAAAGTAAAAGGACAAAATATAACTATTGTGACTAAATAGTTTTGTAATCTTTGCTGTGAATTAACCAAAATTAAAATGAGGAATTGGAATTAAACAAAATGAAAAGTTATTTATGTACTTACTCTTTATTTATACATTGTACATGTATGTACACCTAATTATGTTAATTTGTAAATAATCTATTTTTTTGTAATTATTTAAATATGTTTATTTTTATTACATATGCACAATTAAAATGTAATTAATTCCCTTTTTATAAAATTACATGTTGTTAATTTGATATCTGTTCAGACAGTGTAAAGCTTCAACAGGGGTCTATGGCCCCTAGGGGGTCCACAGAGGTTCTGCATGGGGGTCGCAAAAGATATGGTTGATTAGACCTTTTTTTATATTCCCCTCTGCAGTTTTTTCCATTAATCTCAATGTTTTTAAATTTACATTAACATGAATTCAACACACTGTAGTAAACAGATAAATGGAGGCAGAAGATGTCTTTCAGTCATTAATGCACACATTCAGCGACACACAGAAGCTCTTTCAAATTGGGCACCGTTTCATTCACAACACCTGTCCCATCACCCAGGAATCAGAATCAGAAATACTTTAATAATCCCAGGGTTAAATTACTTTCGTTACATTACTCCAGCTGTAATAGAGTGACTATAGGACCAGGTTGATATATCACAATTTCATACAATATATATAATAAGGGGGTCCCCGCTCCATTTCGGCATCAGTTTGGGGGTCCTCGGCCTGGAAAACATTGAAGCACCCTGGGATAAAGTATCCATTGCTGACGTAAACCATGAAATATTTATAGCTGTTATAGTTCTGGAAAAAGAATCCAACATCTGATGGATTGAACATAGCAATAAGTCCACTTCAGACCAATTATATTGATGAAAGCAGTTTTATTCTCCCCCTCTGACCACCTATGCTTAAGATTAAAATGTAAAATATATTAATGACATGGTGCAACACCTTATCACAGAGAATTTAGTGAGTAAACTAGAATCCTATATGAAATATTTTGTGTAAAAATATACCTTTTAATTAAATATTCATATTAATTTGAACTTCTGTGATCTTTTGAAATATATGAGTAATGTGTTTATTGTGTCATAAAGTCATCTTTTGAATGTTGTTGCTTTTGGAATTCTATAATTTATTTGGTTATTAATTATATTCTTAAGCAGTCAGTTTGTTTATTTATTTATTGAACTGGGGATTTAAAAGTAGGTCAAAGGGCGCCCTCTTGTGTTCAGTCTGAGTTACTCCACAGGATTAAGTCAAAGTGACGTAAATATTTTTGTTACATTACACCTCAGGCTCCCACAGGACACACACTCAGTCACACTGAGACGTTTTTAAATTTAGATTGTTGACCCGTCCACACAGGTCACTGGCAGTCCCTCGAAGAACAGCGAAACCATCCCGGGTGGTCGAGGAGTTCAGAGTTCAGGCTAAAGCAACCAGAGACGATGGTGGTCTCGGTGAAAAACGACACACGGCTGACCGGTTCTCAGAGCTTCCTCTGCTCCGGTTTCGCTGGTTTCTTTAGCAAAACAGTCACGTCCCCCTTGGAAGTGGTGAAGATTAAAAGTCAGGTGGGAACTTTTCACTGCAAAGGAGGCTTCCTTCAAACTTTTATCGTCATCTACCAGAATGAAGGACTTCGAGGATTTTGGAAAGGAAACATGGCCTCCTGTCTCCGACTGTTTCCATATACAGCAGTTCACCTCACAACATACAAGAAGTAAGTCTAGCAGAAAAACCAAAGATCATAAATATGGACTTTTTATTTTATTTTTTATATATAGCGGCTTATATGACTGTTAATCTGCAAATTAGATACAATAAATTAGACTGAGTTGCAACTTTGTGCAGTTACCAACATTAAAAAATCAACATCCCCCTCCATAAAGTGGAGATATTTGATATTCACAAATAAAAAGGCTTTTCTGTTATTGTTTTGTCGTCTGCTGACATCTACTTCCTGTTTGAATCACGCGAGACGCACCCTCTTGCTTCCAGCCAATCAGAATGCTGTATTTACTCAGTCCAGTTTTAAACCTTCATGTGCTCGCTATGCCCGAAGTTTTGTCTCACAGGTAGGCTAAGGATAAATTTTTGCCCCTAGCAGGAACAGCAAAAGCACACAATAATATTTATTTAATCATATTTGGTGATTCTAGAATTATGTTTTTATCCAAGAAGCTTTTGCAGTTAGAGCAAAGTTCATTAATAGATTGGATGTAACGTTTTCAGATTGTTTTCAATTGATTTTGATATATATAATTTATTTACCTGCTGATGGAAATATAGCAGTTATGGTAACTGTGGTAAGAACAAAAAATAGCACCACCATATAATGTTAGAAGTACATGAGAAATACTCATTTCAGAGATATATTCAAAATATTAAAAAATATTTCATTTTATTTTATGTATTTTTTATATATATATATCGTTTACACATTTTGATGTCAAATCATTTCTTTTTTATTATCTTAAATATGTAAATACTGGGAAATTTTTGGGATGTTGGAGATAAATGGGAAGAAATTTGGAAAAAGATTCCTGATTTATATTATAGAGATAAAATATAACATTTGAAAGGAATGTTTTTATTAAAAAAAAACTTTTACTTTCCTTTAAAAAAAAAAACAACAAAAGATCTTATAGAGGTCATGTACCAAAACGTTTTCCAAGTATTTACTCCTTCTCTCTGAGAATAAGTCTAGTTATCTGTCTAATCTTGTCCATAAAAAATGTTTAGTAATTGGGCAAAATTTGCTTTAATATTTTTTCTGCCATTTAAATATTTTTAGACAAACTAAGCATTCATTACAGCGCTGTTCAACATTTAAAAAGAAACTTTGCTTTTTTGCTTTTGCTTTTATTCAAGTTGTTGAGTTAGTACCCTGGCAAGTGGTTTGTAATCTTTGCTGCCTGTAAGACCTTACTGAGGGGAAATCGGTGGTTCTCTATTGTTGGGTTACAAGAGGTCAAAACAAGCTGCTGATCTTTGACAGCATGGATACAGAGGAAATTTGCTTTAATCTGAGCAGTAATCCAACAGGGAGTCATAAATCCAGTCCAGTCAATCATGCTTTATAACATGTGTGTGCGAAAGTGGTTGCATAACGGTTAATCACACCCGCCATTCCCTTACTAGAAGAAACAACAGCTAATTCAGACATTTTTTTGGATTCAACACATTTTCTTGCTGGTGGTTTCAGTGCTAAATTGTTTTCACACCAATATCCACACCACTTGAACCGTTGTAGACGAATAATAAAAACGTTCCAGTCGGAAACATCTTATATTTCAGTTCCCCAAAAAAACATGCTTATTTGTTCTTTGTACAGGATAGTCCACCTTCATATGGATGAGTGGGGCTCCATCTCTCAGGGGAGGGCCATACTTGCTGGAGGGTTGGCTGGTGTCGCTGCAGCCCTGCTCACATATCCTCTGGAGGTGGCTGAGACCAGACTCATCATTCAGAACTGCAGACAGCCCTCCTATATCGGTGTAGCTCACACGCTCTCAAAGGTCTACAGGAATGAAGGGCTCTCTGCGCTTTATAGAGGATTTTCCCTCACTGTTTTGGGTATGTATGCATTATCCCAAGGGGTCTTCAATGTTTTCCATGATAAGAATTCCCAAACTGATGGCGAGATAGATCAGGGAACCCCTAATTATATATATTGTATGAAATTGTGTTATATCAAACTGGTCCTATAGTCACTCTATTACAGATGGAGTAATGTAATGAAAGTAATTTCTTCCTGGGATTATTAAAGTATTTCTGATTGTTATTCCTGGTTGATGGGACAGGTGTTGTGAATGAAATGGTGCTTAGCTTGAAAGAGCTCCTGTGTGTCGCTGAATGTGTGCATTGATGACTGAAAGACATCTTCTGCCTCCATTTATCTGTTTATTTCAGTGTGTTGAATTTATATTAATGTGTATTTAAAAACATTTCAAGTAGTGGAAAAAATTGCAGGGGGGAATATAAAAAAAAGTCTAATCAACGAAAACTTTCAAGACCCCCGTGCAGTATCTCTGTGGAACCCCTAGAGGTCGCAGACCCCCTGTTGAAGACCTCCGCCTTATCCTGTGTTTGTTTATTAAATCTGAGATCAATGCTCAATTGTATTTCTCTCCTACATCTTTCCTGCCTACAGGTGCAGTCCCCTTCTCTCTGGGATGCTATGCTGTTTACATGAATGTAGACAAGCTGTGGCCAGAGCCATCTTTTCGCTTTACTCCTCTGCAGAACTTCATTAATGGCTGCCTTGCTGCTGGAGTGGCTCAGACGCTCTCATACCCCTTTGAAACCGTTAAACGGAAAATGCAGGTGAGTTATCAGTTTGGCTGTTATTTTCATATCATGTTATTTAGTGTAACCTTCCTTTTCTGTTCACCTATGAACCTGAGTTAGGTTAGCCGATTAATTTACAAACTGAAGCCTGTTAAGATGATTAACAGGGGACAGATCCACATCTCTCTAATGCTGTGAAAGTTGCTGGAAACCCTGCAGATTTTGTCTGAAGACAAAGAAAATATAAAATTTGGTTTTGTCAGACTTTATAAACTGGCTTCTTTGGTTTAGGTTTTATTAAATTAGAGAAGCAGACAAATTGTTTCCCCTTTTATAGTAAAAAAAAAAGACCATCCTACTCTGGATCAGACTACTCTGCTTTTAATCAGTTTATTAAATGTGACTATTTACATAAATCCTTTTCAAAGAAAGGGTCACCCAGACCATGCTCCAAAAGAATACATACCATCCTGTTATTTCCATGGGTTTCTAAAAAGTTTGCAAACTGGATGCTTTTCTATGAATGAGGCAAACATGCAATAAGTGTAAAAACTAAAGTGATTTATGCTTCCTTTTTCCTTTAGTTATTTTAGTTTTAATAAAAGTTAAAATTTTCTGGTACACAAGTGCTTTAGATTTGATGATTTTGGCATATGTGAAAAACGTTGGTCTTTACCTTTTGTCTGTGTTTCAAACCAAGTGTTTCTCAGCTTCTCACCAGTCTTTAAGCCTTTTAAGAGCAACTAGAATGAAGATGCACACTGAATATGGAGCAAAGACAGGAAAGATAAAAATGTATTAGGAGCTCAGACACTGTATCCTTGTTAAAGGTAAAGACCAGTAGAACTTCTCCATGAAGCTTCTTGTTCTTTTGGGATTATTCATTTTGTTTTAAGGTTAATTAGACCATAGGTAACCGTCTGGAATTAATGAAGCTGATCTACAAGGTTTAGGTCTATATTTTCCACTTTGCACCCTCAGTCTGATTGTTAGCTATGCACCTTGGAGAACATCTGTATTCTTAAAAAAAGTATGAAAAAAATAACTTTAGTCTACTAACATTGTTTTCAATAATCTTTAAGGCTTTTAATAGAATATTTAATATACTCTATAGAAGGAAAAATACATATTTTAAGAAAAAAGTAAATCCATATCAACTGTTAAACATGGTGTGATATTGGTTTTGTTTTAGGTTCCTTTAAGCTGCATCTGGCACAGAGACGATCTTAGAACATCACAGTATTTCAAGACTACCAAAAGCAGTTTTTTTTTTTTTTTCCGGTGTCCAAAACTTAGTCTCAATGGCAGGACATGGATCTGGTAATGAGATAAAGACCCCGAAATACAAATTTATAATCTTTAGTTAATCTAAACCAAGGGAAATAAGTGAATAGTTGTATTGACAGGCCCGTGTGCTTACTTCTGAAACCAGGAGGAAAGCCTTTATTTGGCCTTTTTCAATGAGATGAATAGAGCTGTTGTCAGATGCATGAGGACAGAGATTCGTTCTTTGATGCCAAAATTGCTGCAAAGACACAATGTTTTTTTTCTTTGTCCATGTAATTTGGACCTCATCCTCAGGAGGGGATGTTGGCTCAAGAAGTAGAGGTTCTTCCTGCAGAGGTGTCAAGTAACAAAGTACTAATACTTCGTTACCTTTTGGCTATCTGTACTTTACTGGAGTATTTAATATTTAGACAGCTTTTTACTTCTACTACTTATACATGTAATTATCTCTACTTTCTACTTCTTACGTTTTAAAACTAGACTTGTTAGTTTTGTTTAATTTAGGTTATTTTCGCTATGGTCTTTTGGTATTTAAAAAACCCCCAAAAACCTTCAAAATAATTGGTTTCATCCAGACTATTAATTTCTTTCTGGTTGGTCTGTGTGCTGCACCAACTTCTTGTTCACCCCTTACCAAAATAAATAGTTTTTCAATATGATGCAAAGTTAAATTTACACTGCTGCCATTAGTATACAACTTAGAAAATGAAGTATAAGGAAATTATCATCTAGAATTGCAAGAAAATGCTCCTTTAATAGGGTAGTGCGGTAAAGCATCTGCCCTTAACATTTTGTCCTGCATTACTTTTACATTTATACATTAGGTAATTTAATAAAAAAAAATTATCTTTAGAGTTTTACTTCAGTAAAAAGCTAAATACATTCCACAAACGTGTTTTTACTACTTGAGTAGTAAACATTAATACTTTTGACACCTCTGTCTTCCTTCCTCTTGCCTGTGGTAGGTTCTGTAGCCTAGCTTCTGTCAGCGTGCCCATTGGTAGCCATGGCAACATGGTAGGTCACCTCCATCGTCTGAATGACCGAAAGTAACCTCAATCATTTGGCATCCCCAGCCGCACTTAGGGGCAATACAAGTTGGGCCGTTTACAGTTTATTTGTTTAATCACATAAAATACTAGGCTAACCCAGCATCAATTATTAAAAGCAAAGCCGGATTTTTGCTACATATAAGCAATAATGATGTCACCAAACCTTTACACTGTAATTTGGGAGAAAATTTTTTTTTTTTTCTGTTTTATTAAAGGATACCAATAAACTCTTTTTTTATTCACTGCATTTTTTTTTATCACAAAAGCTAAGATGTCTAAATGCACCAAAGGCTAAAAGGCCATAAAGTGATCAGGCTTTAGATAATTACCACCTGCTACATAGTCCCTTTGGCCTTTCATCACATTAAATTTAAGAACAAATAATTAGTCGCTTATGCTGTCAGTGGCTGTTGTGATATGTCTAATCAGGGTTTTGTTGCATAACCAAGCAAACAACTCATTATTGACTAACTTGAAAAAGAAACTTGGTTTAGGTCATTAATAGATTGTAACTTTTATTGTTTAGGTTCAAAATATAAAAGCTCCAAAAATAAAAAAGTGCAGCATATAGTTTTCTTCTTGTATATCAGAATATTTTAAATATAGTAAAATGAGATTGGATTTGCTGTAGTCAGTTCCTACTACAGGAACTTCTTGTGAAGTGACTGTCTTACCACTGTTTTACCAGAAGGGGGCAGTAAGTTTGAATCAAAGTCATTTACTGCACCTCAGCACAGTCAATGACCTTAACAGGGGCTGTAAAGTAATTGATCGGTAGACCTTTATCGGGGGAAAAAAGTGAATAATCAAATTGTAAAACAAGCCGTATAGATGAATAACAGTAAAAACATTTTATGTATAATTACTTCATGTTCTGTTTTTACCCTTTAATTCAAAATTGAGACTTTTCTGGGAAGGACACAGAGGGAATAATGGTACTGTAAAGGACTGAATACTCCATCCGGGTTTCGTCTGCCTATTATTAGATCTGACGTGGTTTAACAGCAGCTGGGAATGTGAATGTGCTCCAGGTCTGGCGAGCTATAGATAAGTTCTCTAAAGATAGTCCATAACTGTCAGATAGCAGGAGCTGTGAGAGCTGTGTTTCCACACAATTAAACCTATGCTGCTTTATTATAGTTTCCATTCAAATGCTTTGGTTTAATGAGAATCACGGGGTCAAACATTAATCCAGTGATGAGAAAAGATGAAAAAGACGCTTCCAGAAGCAGAAGGTTATAATTTAAGATAAGCGTGTTATAGTTTAACTTCTTAGTGAGCTTTATGTTTCCACTGCAAATTCTAAGACACCCACATGTGACCTCAGCAGTCGTAAAGCCCGCATGATGGCGGGCAGGATCTACGACATTTCCTACGTGAACTCAAAGACTCTCAGGACACTGCTGGCCCCACAGGAGGTTAAATATTTGGAAGTCCACCAGAGTCAGAAAGGAGAAAGCCTGTTGGAGGTGAATTGATGTCTACAGTCTGTCCAGGAGCCTTTCAGTGTGGACATTTTTCTACCTTTTTCAGCTCTGGGTGGCTCACAGACTTGTTCTCAAAGCTCCACTGTGTCGTCACTCTGCTGAGCTGTGGTTAAATAAACAACCAACAAACATTTTCCATCTGAAATAGTTCAACAGTCTTGTGGTTATATTTACTCCTTAATGCATTTGGTTTATCCCTCCTCTTAGCTTGTCCCAAAACATTATCAAACCGGCGCGTCCCAGTATATTGAAGATGTTTTGTTTAACAGCAAACACACATAGTGGAAGCAACTCTCAGTTGTGTACTGAAGTCTTGAAATTTTCCAGAGAAACCCTCAAACTTTCCTGCAGTGGACCTTCGGCCTACAGAATATATATATATATATATATATATATATATATATATATATATATA